TGACAAGGGCAGTATTTTGCTGATCATTCTAAATGTCTGAGTTGTCATGGAGAAGGGTAACAAAAGGTTGCAGGTGCATATGATAGTTCTAAGAAAATATTTTGCATGCTCCAAGCAGCTACATTTAGGTGAGATTGCAACTGAAACTTTTCAGTTTAATTGGTATATTATATTATGCAGTTTATGTACAAGAGTAAAAACTGCTATGATATTTGGTGCAAATTGAAATGTTCCAAGTTGTAGAGGAGATTTAAAACTTTTTTTTTCTTAATGCTGGGGATTAGAGAGCATTTTCATGATCTTCCGTCTATTTGTAAATCATCTTTTTATCACAGCGTAGCAGGCAGACAGGATTGAGATTAGTTTTTGCTTGCCAGAAGTAGTTTTTCTGGCATTTCCTAAAACTGATGGGGAGTTCCTTCAAAAGATAGGAGGCTTATTTAATTGGCCTAATTAATACAAGTCAAACAAACTCCCTCTGATCTGGAAGTAATGTCCTTTTTTTAAAGCCTTCTATAAATGTTGCTCAAGAACTAACTTGAGAAGGTTCCTTCCCTGGGCTCAGAAGATGAGCCTCCGATGAAGCTGCTGACACACTGGCACAAACACCAAGCACTAGCCTGGCCCAGGAATTCTATGGATTGTCTGTATTTTTTACTCAAACCCAGGAGCCCTTAACCCATACTCAGGCAGTAGTGGGAATCTGCCTGGCTGAGATCTTCCCTGGCATTCAAGATTAGCAGGGATCTCAGTACTGCCAAATGCTGTGTTTAGTATTGGATGTCCCTGAAGCTTGTAAAGGACACTTCCTGCCACATTGTTTCTGCTGAGAGGACTTCATATGAAGAAGGTACTTTCTAGACCAGACCTGGGCAAAATATGTCCTGTAGGCTGGCTATGGCCCACCAAGCCACCGGATCTGGCCTGCAGAGGCAGAGGGGAGCCCCAGGCAGGCTCCCCAGCTTGCCCTGCAGCCCCATGTGCCCTGCAGAAATGCAGTTGCAGGGCTCCTTTTCTGTTTTGAAACTGGAGGGGAGGGGGAATTTTTAGGAGCTGCCCCACCCCTAGCACATTCTCATTGGCCAATTTCTGGCAGAAACCAGCCAATGGGAGCTGCTTGTTGAACTAACAGGCAGCTAAGAAGAATAGCACCCGCTCTCCTGGGCTTAGTTACTGTATTCATGATGCACATGGCCCAGCAAGCAGGCAGGCTGGCTGAGAAACATTTTAAGCTCGGCAGGCAGGCTAGTTTGGCAGCTGGCAAGTAAGTCTTGACCACAGCCTGCTTCTGGCACCCCAGCCCTTTCCTGCCCCAACTCTTTGCCCTCCCTCACTCAGCATACCCATATCCTCTGTCCTCTTCTTACACCCTTATCCCCTCCCAGATCTGGCATCCCACTCTCCTGCCCCAGATCACAATCCCCTCCTACCCTAGGTCACATGCCAAACTCCTGCACTCCAGTCCCCTGCCCTAGGTCACAACCACCTGCTTCATCCCAGATGCTTCCTAGACTCCGGGCTCCCTCCTGCACCCCAATCTCTTCCTCAAGATCTCTTCTGCATCCAACCTCCTTCTCAGATCCCACATCTCCTCCATTAATATCATGGAAGAGTGTGGCCCTCAATCACTTTCTAAAATCTTGGCATGGATCCCTGTCAAAAATTATTGCCCACCCCTGGTTTGCAGTCTGATATTCTTAGCTATCTGAATAAGCTTCATTTCAAAGTTAAATAATTATAATTTTTGAAATTTCTCTTCACATGTAAACTCCCTCCTATTTCTGACTGTCTTTGCTGCGCTTCTGTGGGTCTGTAATACTTTAAGCTTTCATGAAAAGAACTGAACATAACTTGTTCAGTATGTCACTGTTCTTTATGTTACCGTTGTTAAAATGCACTCAGGTATCTTATCTCCTTTATTATCAGCAAACTGGGTTGACATTTTCTATCAAGCTGTTCCTGATAACTCCATAAGTAATCTCAGAAGATATTACTGGTTCATGCTCTGGTATCTAGTGCTTTTTGAAAAGCAATGTCATTTCTTCTAGTTGAAGAGATAATCTTATACGCATGTTACAATTGTATGTGTATTGAATAAACAAGGGGGTTTCTTTTTTCTAAGAAATGTCTGATGGCTAGCAAGTATAACACGTGTTAATGTTCAATACAGTAAGAGGTGTTTTTGACAGTTAAGTAATAAAACTATGTTAACCTGTGAAATGGGCACATTATGAGTAGGTTAATATTGCTTCTATTGTCCTTAATTTGAACATTTCCTGACTTCTTGTAGATCATTAATTTGACAGATTTATTAAAAATATGACTGGCTTAATTTTCTTAAACTACAAACTACCTCATAATAAATTACATATTAAGACAACTGTTAATGTCACAATATGGCAGAGAAGCCAGGAAATTCAGAGTTTGGATTCCTACAGCAAATTTGGCATATTTAGATTATAATAGGTTCTTTTGTTACATGAGAACATACAGGATATATAAATGTGATCTGGGCAGTCAATTTTTTTTGTCAGAGTCCAAATTTCTTGGACATGGTATAATCAAGATCTAGGCTCCCTCCTAGATTCCCTCTCCTAACCTCTTGGCTGTCCTTCCCAGGCTTCCTGCTCACTTGCCAGTTCCTCACCAACTCTGCCAGAAGAGTTAGGTGACCCTATTTCCCTAGACTGAAAATGGGATTCAAAGAGCTGGCATGAAGCACTTGCGATTGCTGCTCACCTCCACCACCATATGTTCCTCTGTGCCTCCAGCTGAGCTACGTAGCAGAGATGGGAGGAGGGGAGGAATGGGCATGGGCTAAGATCTGGGCAGCAAAGTAATGTATGAGTGAATGTGACCATTTTTAAGCTAGGAGCCAGGAGGTGAAGCTGTTGGACTATTATTCAGCTAGTGATGCCACTTTGGGGGCTGAAATTGTAAAGGGGCATGAAGGAGGGTTCAAGTAGTAGAAGGGACCAAAGAGATTCCAGAGACATCCCTGGGAAGAGGGAGCTAGGCCAGGATATAACAGAAGCGATGACTGAAAGCAGATTGGGGGGGTGGGGGGAGAAGAGGCTTGGTGCTGTGAGAGAGGGCTGAAGAGGGCTCTGGGGACTGGCCTTTAAGGATGGAGGGTGGTGAGAACACAAGGCCAAGGTGGGAGGCTGCAGGAACTTCTTGGGAGAAGTTGGCATGAGGGCAGATTGTGTGTGAGGGACGTCAGGGACTGCTTGAGGATAAGGAGCTTGAAATTGGGGTCGGGGTCAGGGCCACTGGGGTGTGGGGATCTCTTGGGGACAGGTTGGCACATGGCTGGTGGAAGACCATTTAAGCAGGTTGTTCACAATCACCACAAATGGTCTCTTTGTCCAGGTGTGCCCAGGTCTATTCTGCACATGGACCTATTTGCAATAAGCGCAAACAAAACATCATCTTTTTTTGTTTCTGAGTGAGTCAAAGTCTGATATGGTCCCCTCTTTGACCTGCTGGAGACCTATTCTCTGTTACACCTTTCTGTGAGGGTGGTGTCCTTGGATGCTATTACTGTAGCCAAGAGCGTGGTGGAACTTCAAACCTTATGATCAGAACCTCTTTCTACCATCTTCTTTACAGACACGGTTTTCCTTTGACCTCACCCAAATTCCTACCCCAAATGGTTTTCAGTTTTCACATTGACCAAGTAATTTTTATTTACCAACTTTTTTTTCAAAGCCTAATTTGAGTGAAGAAAAATGTTGTACTAGACATTAGAAGAGCTTTTTATTTGGATTGGACTAACAGGTTTAGGTTTCTCTCTCAACTGTTTATTGCAGTTTTGTACAGAGTAAAGGGCTATCCAGCATCCACCCACTGGATCTCTTCCTGTAATAATTTATGCTATTGATTAGTTAGTATCACATCCCCAGTAGAGTGTTGACTCCTTCAGGCAGATAGCAGGCAACTTCCACAGACTTTCTGCTTTGTAGTGCTCATCCTGGACATTTGGAAAGTGGCAGTGTGATTATCAAGCCATATCTTTGCTTATCATTATACCATCTCTCCTGAACCTAGCGACATTGTCAGATTTGGGTGGCTGGTACTACAATGCCTATTCGGGTATTCTCCAAGCCCATTTGCAACTCAAGCTGATTTTTTGTCACCTACAGGAAAAGACATATGCAATTTCTTGAAAAAATGATTACTGACCTTTTTTTTTTTTTTTTTTTTTTTTTCCCTGTAAGGCTACGTCTAGACTGCAAGGTTTTTGTGCAAAAACCTTCAGAGGGTCCACAACTCAAATGCACTTTTGCTCAAGTAAATCAGCATTAAAACGGCAGAACAGAGGGCTTTTTCTGGTGTAGGTAAACCTCCTTTTATGAGGCATAACACCTTTTTGTGCTACAGCTGTTGTGCAAAAAGGCATGTTTGGACACTCCATAGGGGTTTCTTGCACAAATAGAGCCTATCCGAAAAAGCACAGGTGCTCTGATTGCTTTTGCACAAGAGAGCTTCCACACTGCATGGACGCTCTTGAACAAGAAAGCTCTGATTACCGTTCACAGAATGGCAATGTGCTTTGAGGTGTGGACGCACTTTTGTGCAAGAAGTTTGTGCAAGAACTCTTCCACAAAAGACGACTTGTGCAAAAACCCTGCAGTGTAGATGTAGCCAAACTGTTCTTCAAGATTTGTTGCATATGTCCAATCCACGATTTTCCCTCTTGCCCTTCTCTATTGGAGTCTTTCCTGTAGGAAGGAACTGAGGGGGATCAGAGACAGGCCCATTCTTTATGCTTATGTGTAATAGTGTGAGGCACTAGACAGTACTCATGTCCTGATGGGTATTTCTGAGTGAAATGTCTACAACAACTGTACGCTAGAGGCATGCACACATCTACAGTGGAATACACATGTGCAAAATATCCCGAAGACCAGTAATTACAGAAGAAGATTAGTAACTTTCATTTACTGAATATTTCTAAATTTGGTCATATTACTGAAATGGTTTCTTGCACTGTACAGACATGGAAGTAATGAAGCCTTTAATTGGAGAACAGAACTTGGACAGCATTTCTGAGGATGAGCACGAAAATGAATTGTTGCCAGTTGAGAAGCATTACCAACTTGATAATCAAGAGGGCATTACGTATGTACTGTTTTAAATGCCATTCTCTTACCATTGACTTGTTTTTTGGAAATATTCCGGTGCTTTTAAGGGATTTCCCCATGACTGTAGCATAGCTGCTTCTTTGAGTGCTTGCTCATGTTCATTCTGATTAGGTGTGCACGTGCCACGTACACGGATTCTAGAGCTTTTTTTCCTTTAGCAGTATCCATAGGGCCAGGCAGGGAGCCCCCTGGAGTTGCGCTGATATACCGGTGCATATATACCCCTGCTGGCCCCTCCACCCTCTCAGTTCCTTCTTACTGCCTGTGACGGTAGCTGGAGCATGCGTTAAGGCTATCAGCCTGTCCGTAGCAGTTTGTATTCATCATCTATTCCTGTATTATAGTTAGAATCAGTAGTTAAATACTTGTTAGGTAGTTGTTAGTGTAATTAGTTGGCAAAAGAGCTCAGCGGGACTCTCCCTATTAGGGGAGGGGATGCCAGGGCCCCAAGGCTTTAAGCCGTGTAGTGCTCAAAGCCTATGCCCTGTGGTGACCTGCACTCTTCGTGTTTAAAGTGCCTCGGAGAGGCCCATCAAGAGGAGAGCTGCTTGATCTGTAAAGGATATAAGCCCAGGACCAAGAGCGAAAGAGACTCTAGGCTAAAGCTCCTGTTGATGGAGTCAGCGTTACAGCCTCAGAGCGAGGAGCATCCCCACTGTCCACAGTGCACCGTTTGCTTCAGCCTCAGCACCAGGCAAACATCAAGAGGCCATCTCAAAGACACCCAGGCACAGGTCACAGTTGCTGGCACCAAGGAGCTCTAAAGGCTTGAGGGGCCTGTCGATGGAGAGATGTGGTCACAAAGTGTGCCCTAAGGAGGGGCACTTGACCTCCAAGGCGCTTAGGGGAAGGCGCATCCCGGATAAGGCTAGAATCCCGGGGCAGGCTACAGGGATGGGGGTTATCCAGCACCCCTCTACCCCAGAGACATTTGATGCAGCACATCTCTCCATCTAGGTCTCGCTCAAGCCTCAGATCTTGGCACAGGGACTCGGCGGACCAGCAGCAGTGGCAGGCGCAGTGGCAACCATGACCGCAGTGGCTGTTCTGGACACCTTGGGCCTACCATCAAGGCCAAGGGCCCCCTCACCTCGGGGTCAGTTGCGAAGTCATCTTGCAGGAGTAGTGCCCCCTCCACCACTCTGCTGCAAGCCCCACCACCAGAAGAGGGCCATCTCATGGCAACATTGGTCAGGCCACCAGTGATTGGCCAGGTGCAGGGGACCACAATTCCACCAGTGGGTCCAATGCAGATGGGCCCCTCGACCATTGAGGAAATGGGAGCACCGGAGTGTGAAGAAGAACAAGTGCCACTGAGAGAGTCGTCATCATCCTCTCCGGATGAGGCTGTGGCAGACCTGGCACCCCAACTTCCTTCCATGGATGCCAGGGCTCCCCAGGACCTGCTAAGGAGGTTGGCGGCCAACCTGTCTGTGCAGGCTGAAGACGTCCACAGGGACCTGGACCCCATGGTAGATATCCTGTCGGCATCAGGCCTGGGTCGTGTGGCACTACTGCTGAACAAGACTGTTGATAGGTTGTTGAAGACCCTGTGGCAAACGTCAGCATCAATCACACCAACACAAAAAGGGGTGGAAAAGTGTTACTATGTGCCACAAGCGAGGCATGAGCATCTTTTTACCCATCCCACCCTGGGGTCCATACTAGTGCAGGTAGCAGGGTAAAAGGAGCGACAGTGATCTCTGGGGCTGACACCAAAGGCTAAGGACCCTAAAAAGCTGGACCTCCTAGGTAGGAAAACCTATGCCATGGGAGGCCTGCAGCTCCATATCATGAACCAGGAAGTGATGCTGGGGCGCTATGCCTTTAATACCTGGACATTGGTGCAGAAATTTGGGGAGCATCTTCCTCCTGAGTCGTGTCAGGAATTCGGGGCCATCACGAAGGCAGGAAAGGTGGTGACACGCACAACCGTCCAGGTGGCCCTACACGCGGCAGACTCGGTGTCTCGGAACATGGCCACTGCTGTGGTCATGAGGCGTAGCGCATGGTTACAGGTGTCAGGCATCCCGTTAGAGGTGCAAACCACCATACAAGACCTGCCTTTTGAGGGGTTGGGCCTGTTCTCTGAGCAGATCAACTCTAAACTCCACAGCCTAAAATACTCAAGGGCAATGTTAAAATAGCTCGAGATACATACCCCGGCATCTCAGAAGTGGTCCCTCAATCCTAGGCCATACCATAGACCTTTTCAGCGGGGATTTGGGCCAGACAGAGGGCACAGGAGGGGGCGCAATAATGGCTGTCCCGACCACTTTAGAAACAGATGCAGAGGTCCTAGGTCAGACTCTGAGAGAGGGTCTGGCGCATCTCTTGGTCAGCAGACCAAGCCTTCATTTTGAAGGTACACTCGAGAGCATAGTACCAGTGGTACCTTCCTCCCTCCGCCTCCCCTTTGGATACCGACTCTCCCTATATTACCAGACGTGGTCCAAGATGACATCGGACCGCTGGGTCCTCAACCTGGTGAGACAAATATACACTATACCCTTCCTCTCTATCCCTGCCTCCCACCCTCTCCTCCCCATCCCTTTTCAGGGGCCCCTCTCACGAGACCCTTCTAAGATAGGAAGTGTCCAATCTTCTTTGTCTAGGGGCCATAGAACGAGTTCCGTGGGGACTCAGTGGGAGGGGCTTCTACTCCCGATATTTCCTTATCCCCAAAGTGAAAGGGGGAGGGGGGCCACGTCTTATCTTAGATCTAAGGAATCTGAACTCTTTTATAAATAAAACAAAGTTCAGAATGGTCACCTTGGCCTGCATCATCCCTTTCCTCCAGAAAGGAGACTGGTACGCTGCTCTCGATCTGAAAGACGCCTACTTCCACATTTTGGTGTCCGCAGTATGCAGGAAGTTCCTCAGATTTGTGGTGGGTCAGGACCACTTCCAGTTTACAGTCCTCCCATTTGGCTTATGTATAGCCCTGAGGGTGTTCACCAAGTGTATGGCAGTAGTAGCCGCATTTATGCGACGCCACAGAATCCAAGTATTCCCATATCTAGACAATTGGCTGATAAGGAGCACATCTCAAGAACAAGTGACAGACCATGTCAAAAGGGCAAATGCACTTTTTGGGAACCTTGGCCTTCTCAGAATTGATGTCAAATCCTCACCAAACTCCATGTAAGTGATAGAGTTTGTGAGAGCCTGTTTGGACTCATCTGCAGAGAGAGCCTCCCTGCCAAGAGACAGGTTTCTCACAATGTGCTTGTTGATAGCAGACCTGCAGAGATTTCCCACCACGACGGCGAGAACCTGTATGAGGCTCTTTGGCCATTTGGCGGTGTGTACATATTTGGTTGCCAGGTTAAATGTGTGACCGCTACAAGGGTGTCTCGAGGCAGTGCACAACCCCATGCAGTAGCCTCTGGATGCGGTGCTCACTGTACCAGAAAGGATATTCTGCTCTCTAGACTGGTGGAAGAACAAGAGCATGGTGGGTGCGGGAATTCCATTTGACAGTCCCCATCGGTATGGCTGGTCACGGATGCATCAGACATGGGATGGGGGCGCACCTGGGTGGCCTCAGGACGCAAGGTATGTGGTTACCAGGGGAAGTATCCCTTCACATAAATGTCAAGGAGCTCAGGGCAGTCAGTTTGGCATGCATGGCGTTCCTCCCCCAGCTGGAGAACAAGGTGGTTGCAGTGTTGACAGACAACACAACCGCCATGTATTATATCAGCAGACAAGGGGGAGGCACATTCTTCTCCCCTGTGCTGGGAAGCCCTAGAGTTGTGGGAGATGTGTATCTCTCATAATATTCATGTGGAGGCGTTGCACCTGCTGGGGTCCAGAAATGGGTTGGTGGACAGGCTCAGTCACTCCATTCAGGTGCACGAGTGGACTATAAGAGAAGACGTACTGCAGGGAATATTCCAGAGGTGGGGGTATCCCCATCTAGACCTCTTTGCAACTTTGAGCAATGCCCATTGCTGGGGCTACTGCTCGTACATGGGCCACGGGCTGGAATCCCAAGGGGGATGCGGTCCAGATCAGGTGGCCCAGGCGTCTATTGTACGCTTTCCCTCCACTCATGAGACGCTAATCAGGGTGGGGAAATTTGGGGTTCAGGTGATATTGATAGCACAGGTGTGGCCTCACCAACACTGGTTCACGACCCTCCTAGAGCTGGCTATGGAAGGGCCATAGTACCAGATCTAATCACACAGAAGTGTGAGGAAGGGATGGTTCTTCACCCAAGCCTGCCGTCCCTACACCTAGCGGTGTGGTGCCTGAGTAGTTGTCAGCCCTAGAGCAGGCTGGCTCACGAGGGGTTCAAGAGGTGCTTCTGGAAAGTAGGAAGCCATCCACTTGGGTGTTACATGAGGCTAAATGGAGAAAGTTTACCTTGTGGTTGGGGGATAAGGAGCAGGGGAAGCAGTGGTCTCTCTTATTTTAGAGTACCTACTCCACCTTAGGAGGCAAGGCCTCGCCACGTCCTCGCTGAAGGTTCACCTAGTGGCAATAGCAGCCTTTCACCCAGGTGAAGGCCAAAGGTCTATCTTTACTAATGCTATGATTAAACAGTTTCTGAAGGGAGTGCACAGACTGCTCCCATATAAACGGCCGCTGGCGCCACCCTGGGACCTTAATCTAGTCCTGACAAGTCTCACGAAGGCCCCTTTTGATCCACTAGCTTCGTGCTCCTTGAAGCACTTGTCATACAAGATGGCTTTCTTGGTGGCCATTACCTCAGCTAGGAGGGTGTCCGAACTTAGAGCGTTGACTTCAGAGCCCCCTTACATGGTCTTCTTTAAAGATAAGGTGAGAATATGTCCTCACCCGGGGTTCCTACCCAAGGTGGTCTTGCACTTCTACCTATCTCAGGACATTTACCTGCCGGTTTTTTACTCCAAACTGCACTCCACAACCAAGGAACAGGCCCTGCACTGTTTGGATGTCAGGAGGGCAATGGCGTTTTACATAAATAGGACACAGGAATTCCGTAAGTCACCACAGTTGTTTATTTCAGTAGCAGAAAAAATGAAGGGATTGCCGGTCTCCGTTCAGTGCATCTCCTCGTGGATTACATCTTGCATCCGGGAGTGCTATGAGGGTGCGGGCAAACTAACGTCACCGTTAACTGCTCATTCCACGAGAGCACAGGTGGCCTCGGCATCATTTTCTGGGGCATGTGCCAATTTTGGAAATCTGTAGGGCAGCCATGTGGTCATTGGTGCACACGTTCGCAGAGCAATGTGTGATCATGCAGCTGGCTAGGGAGGATGCCACAGTCAGGGCGGCAGTTCTAAGGTCTGCAGAAGTATATTCAGGAGTCACCTTCCAACCCCGTCTCCAAGGCAACGGCTAGGGATTCACCTAATCAGAATGGACATGAGCAAGCACTCGAAGAAGAAGCGGTTACTTACCTTGTAACTGTTGTTCTTCGAGGTGTGTTGCTCATGTCTATTCTACATCCCACCCACCTCCCCTTGTCGGAAGGAGCTGGCAAGAAGGAACTGAGCGGGTGGAGGGGGCCAACAGGGGTATATATGCACCAGTATATCAGCGCAACTCTAGGGGGCTCCTTGCCTGGCCCTATGGATACTGCTAAGGGAAAAAAGCTCCGGAATCTGTGCATGCGGCGCACGCACGCCTAATTAGAGTGGACATGAGCAGCACATCTCGAAGAACAACAGTTACGAGGTAAGTAACCTCTTCTTTTAGGGATGTAAAAATCCCTTTTAACTGGTTAAACATAAAGTTCATGTTTAATTGATTAACTGGTTTAACGTAATGCTGCTCTGGCCAGCAGGAGTGGGCCAGGCCTGCCATGGACAGGTTCTGCTCCAGCTGGCAGGAGCGCCTTCCAACCATGGGGAGTTGCTTCACCATCCATCTTTTAACTGGAACTAGTAAGCCTCACAGTTAAAGGCAAAGCAAACTGGTTAACCAGTTAACCATTTCATATCCCTAAATTAGCTTTATGATTCTGCTTTGGGAATCCTCAGACAGAGTTTTGGTAAGCCAAGCTCTGTTGTTGGGCTGCTTTGTGTAGACCCTCATTTTCCAGAACTAGTGATGAAACAGGCTTTTTTTTTTTAATGATTGCAATGCTTATAAAGTGTTTGTTTGATTTGTTCAGGATTAAGGGAGCTTTTATTACAGAACAAATCAAATATATTTTAAGACTGTTTCAGTTTTAGGAAGTATCTGGAAGTCCTTAGAAATATAGTTTAACGAACCTGAGTATAGATTTATTTGGGGGTCTACAAAAGTTTTCTTTGATGTATTTCTTTTAAAGTTACTCTGTCAGACTCCTGATCACATCTATAGCCGTTCATAAAGGCGTAACTTCTAAAATTGTTTAGGCAAAAATCAGCACAGCATCAGCCTGTTGTACTTAGTTGCCCCTCTCTCAGACAAAAGGAGAGTGTCACTGCACCATTAAGATGAAATCCAGACTTTGGACCAACAGTTGAAGTGAATTCCAGACCAGGGATCATTCCCCAGAGAACACCTGGCTTCAGTTCCTCAAAACTCAAATCCAGACCCTGATGGGAGTATCCCAGCTATTTTTTGCTTTGACAAGGCTGTCTTGTGTCTTTCACAAGACTGCCGTGACCACCTTGAAACATCTAATGCATATACATTTTATCTTTACATTTTACACACTCATTGGTGAAACGCTATCAGAATGTTGTTCAAAGCCTCCATTCTGACTATATTATTTGTATTTTCAGGTTTGTACAAACACTTACTCATCTCCTCAAAGGAAACATTGGTACTGGGCTTCTGGGGCTTCCACTTGCAATGAAAAATGCAGGCATTGTGGTAAGAGTTTTACCCCACATATGGAAGAAATACATATATATACTTTATCACATTTCTGTAGTTTGGACTGATAAAACTAAAATATAGGTGATTTGATTACAGGCAGTCCCTGGGTTATGTACAAGATAGGGACTGTAGGTTTGTTCTTAAGTTGAATTTGTATGTAAGTCGGAACTGGTACATATTGTAGGGA